CTTACTATAGCTTGGCATGGACCAGCATCTGGCCCTTTGTACCATCAACGGTCAGGTCTCCGGCTCTGGCCTGTTCTATAGGGCCATCGGCTTTTCATTCTTTGATAATGACCATTGTCCAGGCTGTAGTATCCCTCTGTGGGATCTGAATTTAATATATTACTTGCTCAGTCTTACAGGTAGCAGTGTACTTCTTCCTGCCCTTCCTGTCTGTTTAGTCTGCTCCCATACCGCAATAGATCTTGTTTTGGGTTGTACCATTAGTCAAGGTCTAAAGATCTCCACTATGTCCTTCAATAAACAGAAGAGAAAATAGGATTTTTGTACTCACCGTAAAAATTATTTTCTCTGCGTTCATTGAAGGAAACGGCACCCACTCCTCTGATTATGTCAGTGATCAGTTGTTACTCTATTCACTGCTTTGTGACTAACTGAGCTGCCTCTAGTAGATAGGAAGTTTGGCCACCAGCAGGGATTGCTAGTAGACTGTGCCTTTGTTTATGTGCCTAGTGTCCTACTCCTGAAAGTGATTAATAGTGTTCCGCTGCATGATGTACATCATATTAAATACAAAGGTTTACATAGGAAGAAGCCCTTTGCTTCACTTACAGTTCTAACTGCAATATATTAATAAAGGTGTTGTATTTTAAAGATTTATATTATAGATGGTTGTTTGAAGGCCATCCATGTTGTCCAGGTATGTAAGAAAGTTGTGAGAGAATCTTAGGAAATTGCTCAGCCTTCTTTCATTTGAGCAATCAGTTTTTCTTATTGATCCACTCAAGTGTAGAAGGTTGTGCGGGGTACTTCCAGTGGAATGGAAACAGTGATTTTGAAGTTTAGAAGATGTAATGGTTTTTTATATTATTGTGGGAGGTGTTGGAAAAGATGCTGTAGATAGGAGGAGGTTGAAAAGTCAACTTGCTATCTGACATTTGTGTGAGTATGTTTCTAGACATTGGTCCAGCAGTGTTGGATTGGTGTACAGTCCCACCAAATGAGTAGGAGGGAACCAGTCCCTTAAAGGCAATGCCAGCATTTGATCATAAAATGTTTGTGTAAATTTAGTATGAGGTTCCTTGGATTAACTAAACATTTGTGTCAAAAAAGCACAATGTGTTCCCATATTTACTCTCTGATATCTTTGTATTGAGTGTACAAAGATACTCATTTACACATATGACTGCTAGAACAGATAAAAAGACATTTGGGGGGAATTGATCAAAATTGGAGCAAACAGAATCTGGAGCAGTTGCCCATGGCAACCAATCAGCTTCTCTCTTCAGTTCATTCCGTTAAGATTTGAAAATGAAAGAGAGAGAAGCTGATTGGCTGCCATACACAGCTGCTCCAGTTTTCGCCTGCTCCAGTTTCGATAGATCCCCCTACTGTGCAGTGTCACTGGGGATGTGCGGCATCACCATTGCCACCAAAAACTCAAAATCACTTACAAAGGTGGAAATGTCCTTTTAAGGAAGGGTTTTTTGTTGGCCAGGTGAGAATTCAGGATTACAGCTCAAGAGGGTTTGGGACTGGGGCATGTGGAGAATATTTTCAAATAATTTATAAAATGTTAGCACCGTAGTACTGGTTTTGGGTAGGGTTTTCATGGAGCAAGTATATGTCGGGGTGACTCTGTGATTTACGAAAGTGAATTTTTCTATCCTCCCAGGTGACACAAATGTTTTTGGCCATGTGGAATTTCCAGTCTGAGAAATATTTTTTGCTGTTTGAAATTCCAATGCAGCCTCAAGTTCAGTTTTGTTATTAAGCCAGATTTAAATCTTGGTTGTTTGAATGCCCATATGCGTTTGGTTAGTAGCAATTGAGAGACTATATTGGGACACCCCTCCAAATCATTGCATTGAGGTGTTCCTAACACCTCCATGGCCACAAGTTTATAAAATCAAGCACCTAGGCATGCAGACTGCTTCTACAAACATTTGGGAAAGAATGGGTCACTCTCAGGAGCTCAGTGAAATCCGTGAAATGCCCTTGCTACTAAATATATTCCATGGTCCACTGTTGTGTGTGTGTATATATATATATATATATATATAAAGTGGTATTATAACAAAGTGGAAGCAACTGGGAACAACAGCAACTCAGCCACGAAGTGATAGGCCACGAAATGACAGAGCGGGGTCAGCGCATGCTGAAGAGCACAATGCGCATAAGTCGACAATTGTCTGCAGTCAATAGCTACTTCAAACTGCGTGTGGCCTTCAGATTGGCACAACAGTGCGTAGAGAGCTTCAAGGAATGGGTTGCCATGACCAAGCAGCTGCATCCAAGCCCTACATCACCAAGTGCAATGAAAAGCATTGGATGCAGTGGTGTAAAGCACACCGTCACTGGACTCTAGAGAAGTGATGACGTGTTCTCTCGAGTGAAGAATCACGCTTCTCTGTCTGGCAATCCAATGGATGTGTCTGGGTTTGGCAGTTGCCAGGAGAACGGTACTTGCCTGACTGCATTGTGTCAAGTGTAAAGTTTGGTGGAGGGGGGTTTATGGTGTGGGGTTGATTTTCAGGGGTTGGGCTTGGCCCCTTAGTTCCAGTAAAGGGAACTCTTAAGGCATCAGCATACCAAGACATTTTGGCCAATTTCATGCTCTCAACTTTGTGGGAACAGTTTGGGGATGGCCCCTTCCTGTTACAACATGCCTGCACACCAGTGCACAAAGCAAAGTCCATAAAGACATGAATCAGCAAGTTTTGGGTGGAGGAACTTGACTGGCCTGCACAGAGTCCTGACCTCAACCCGATAGAACACCTTTGGGATGAATTAGAGCAGAGACTGCAAGCCAGGCCTTCTCGTCCAACATCAGTACCCGACCTCACAAATGCGCTTCTGGAAGAATGGTCAAACATTCCCGTGGACAGGCTTCCCAGAAGAGTTAAAGCTGTTATAGCGGCAAAGGGTGGGCCAACTCAATATTGAACCCTACAGATTAAGACTGGGAAGCCATCAAAGTTCATGTGTGTGTAAAGGCAGGCGTCCCAATACTTTTGGCAATATAGTGTGTATATATCTCTCTATCTCTATCCATGCTGGTACTACACTGAATGGGTGGGGATAGAATAAAAAATGTAAGTAATATGGATGTATCTTAGATATCATGTCTCCATAAGGTCTGTCCTAATTTGAAGGGTTATTTAGAGTAAATAGATTACATTTACTATATCTATCAAGTCTATTTTATATAAGACTATAGTGTATGTAATATGTAAGGATATAATGTACCTGCTGTATTTGTTCTGAAGTATCTAATGATGCATTTGACTGTTTAATATCTTTATCGGATTTGAGATGGCTAATCCTGTTCATAGTTTGTGCTGCAATGATGCTGTATGATGTAAATCATGAGACTAAATATGAGAGTTGTGACCTGGTCTAGGCTGGGTTTAAAAACAAGTAGATTTTGACTTGAAATCTAATTTGAAAGAGTATGTTTCAAATACCTGATGAATCCCATTTAGGTGAACACATAGGGGAGAATTTAAAGCTGTGATGTTACTGTAAAGGTATGTTTGGTTTACTCTGTATTCATGGTGTGCTGTCAGAATCGTACTTAGAGATGCACACACCTGCAACAACCTCCTAAACTTTCCCAAAATAGGAATGTGTGCAGATAAAGGTCGTGGGAAGCCCTGACATTACCTTAAAGTGTCATATCCTTGCCTATTAGAAAAGCCATCATTCAGCTGTGTAGGAGGATGCAGCAGGTGTGTGCTAAAATCTATAGGTGCTTGCACTTCATACCTACAGTAGTCCCCCCCCCCCCCCCCCTTATTTTCTCT